ACATACATAGATACATAGATAGATATGAACATAAAACAGAAATATATATATATATATATATATATATATATATATATATATATATATATATATATAGATCGATAGATAGATAATTAGATAGATAGATAGATAGATAGATAGATAGATAGATAGATAGATATCAATATAATGCAAGAGATAGATAGATAGATAGATAGATAGATAGATAGATAGATAGATATGAACAGAATCAGAATCAGATAGATAGATAGATAGATAGATAGATAGATAGATAGATAGATAGATAGATAAGCAGCGAGCAATCTCGCTGGTTATCTAGCTTTCCGCGGATCCTTCTTCATTCAATGTCTATTAATAGCAAGGAACTTCTGGCAAAGTAGAGTAGCTTTGCATTCAGAATATTTCTCTTCGATTGGTTATCATGCAAGTCTAGAGAACCCAGTCTACTGTGCTAGTTAACCCATAGTTGGGGGAGAGACACCATGTATCTGCGCCTCAAAAGTTGTTTTCTTTCCTTCAAGCACACTTCACCCCGGCGGCCAGCCCCGTTTCTTGCGTCCTCACTTAAGCGATCGTTGACGATTTCTTTCTACCTCCCGATGTTTAGGTCCATCGTCTTTATGTCACGTCCTTGAAGCGATGATGAGGCGGACCTCGTGCCCTCATGTCGATTGGCAGTTCCCCTTAAAGAATCCTCCCACCAGTAGACCGTTACTTCCCGTGTTTTGCCGTCGCGGTGAGGCGATGATGGAGTGTCTTTTTCAGGCTGAAGGCCAAGACAAAATTTTAAAAGAGACTAAACTACCCGTGACCCGTTGGGTCACTGACGCTCCAGGTTATTAAAAACTGAAGTTGAGTTCAACATACCATTTATTATGATTCAGTTAAATATTTCAATTCGTTCATGTCATCATTAGTCTTGTTTACAAACTGTTATAGCTAAACTGGTATAACACGTCAGGCTATATGATGGTTCCATGTAGGATACAGGTTCGATTCCTGTCGGAGGAAAGATATTTTCTAGGAAAATTTTTCGAGAGATCAGGCCGGTAAATGTTTTTATTATTGTTTATTATAAACAGAGCATTTACTTAAATATTTGCGTTTATATAAATAACATATAACAATAAAAAATATTCAAATAATTGTCAGCTTTTGTTCATTTTGTTGTGTGTGACTATCTATCTATTTTAGTCTTTTCATTTTCAATCTATCTATCAATCGCTGGTCATTTCTATCTATCTATCTATCTATCTCAGTCTTTTCATTATCTATCTATCTATCTGTCGCTGGTCATTTCTTTCTTTCTTTCTTTCTTTCTTTCTTTCTTTCTTTCTATCTATCTATCTATCTATCTCAGTCTTTTCATTATCTATCTATCTATCTATCTATACTTGGTCATTTATATCTATCTATCTATCTATCTATCTATCTATCTCAGTCTTTTCTTTATCTATCTATCAATCTGTCTATCTATCGCTGGTCATTTTTATCTATCTATCTATCTATCTATCTATCTATCTATCTATCTCTCTCTCTCTCTCTCTCTCTCTCTATATATATATATATATATATATATATATATATATATATATTTTCTTTTCATTATCTATCTATCTATCAATCTGTCTATCTATCTATCGCTGGTCATTTATATCTATCTATCTATCTATTTATCTATCTATCTATATCTATATATCTATATATATATATGTATATATATCAGCCTTTTCATTATCTATCTATCTATCTATCTATCTATCTATCTATCAATCTATCTATCTATCTCTATCTCTGGTCATTTATATCTATCTATCTATCTATCTATCTATCTATCTATCTATCTATTAAACGTCTCAATAACTCTCATATGAGCGCCAATACACGAGATCCTACCCAAACTTAGTTGCCCTTTATGATCTCGCGTCGATGAAACGATGACAATTCTTTATTTGTATAATTTGTTCATGAACAAATTGCCCTATCGACTGGATAGCCAACCTTGCTGAAACTTAACTACGTCACGTATTTATCTTCTATATAAATCGATGTTTAATGTTTTATTGATTTTTACAGCATTTAATAAGAATAGAACATTTGGGATAAACTTGAACTTTAAATCACATTAACTTGAAAATTTTTTTTTTTTAAATATGCCCAAAAATATTTTTTTAATATTTAAAATATTCTTTGTTTAAAGAAAGCTGAAATTTAAATAATTGGACGAAACAGCAAAGCGGGATCTCTTTGTGCCTGTCTTAATTAAACAAATCGTCTGTTTGAAGAAAGTTAAAATAAAAGTACTTACTGCATAATCAACTCGTATTTTTAAATCTTATTCACTTAAAATCAATTTAACTTAAAAAGATATTTTAAATCTTTAAAATATTATTTATTTAAAAACAGTTGAAGTATAAATAATTACTCTACAAACATCGGGACGAAACAGCGAAGCAGGATCTGTTTGTTTCTGTCTTTAAATTGTCTTTTTGAAGAATGTTAAAATAAAAATGCTTACTGTATAAACAACTCGTAAATCATTATGTGCCGGACGGGCGCACCACACTAACACGCACGCCATGACAGACTTTTAGTATTATAGGGATAAGCTGTCCAAGAATAAGGCAGAGTCCAATGAAGCATGAACATAACATCGGACTCTGTTAGGGACTCCAAAAGCCGATATGAACCGGATAACACGTTAAACAATGTTAAATTTAGTTGCTACAAATTCCGAAAAGTCGGTGTTTATTACAAACTGTTGTGACCTTGTTGTGACAAAGACATGAATTGAGTTAAACAAATATATTAACAGAAACAGTAATACAAACATATACAAACGAGAGTGTTACAGCAAGAATGTTCGGTCTGACTGTCAGAGCTGACTGCTGGAATTTTCACCCTCCAAAAGGCAGTACCTGCTCCTATTTATAGCTGGGAGAGTCCATGCGTGCGTGGGTAAATTACCATAACACAAACGAAAAAAATTCCAAGATTTCATAACCAATATAGGTGTGTGCATTATACATAAATGCGTATTATAAGCAAATAATTACAGTATTTTAATCATTATTAATTTGATTTTTAGTGTCGAAATTTGGACAATAGACCGAATAATGTAAATGGTGCACATAATACCTCATCTCACAAATATAGACAGATACTGAAAGGCCGAAACGTTGTAATCAATATGGTGACAAAGATGATGACAATAGTCCGAATAATGTAAATAGTGTACATAATACCTCATCTCAGAAATATAAACAGATACTGAAAGGCCGAAATGTTGTAATAAATATGGCAACAAAGATGAGGACAATAGTCCGAATAATGTAAATAGTGTACATAATACCTCATCTCAGAAATATAGACAGATACTGAAAGGCCGAAACGTTGTAATAAATATGGCAACAAAGATGAGGACAATAGTCCGAATAATGTAAATAGTGTACATAATACCTCATCTCAGAAATATAGACAGATACTGAAAGGCCGAAACGTTGTAATAAATATGGCGACAAAGATGAGGATAATAGTCCGAATAATGTAAATAGTGTACATAATACCTCATCTCAGAAATATAGACAGATACTGAAAGGCCGAAATGTTGTAATAAATATGGTGACAAAGATGATGACAATAGTCCGAATAATGTAAATAGTGTACATAATACCTCATCTCACAAATATAGACAGATAATGAAAGGCCGAAACGTTGTAATAAATATGTTGACAAAGATGATGACAATAGTCCGAATAATGTAAATAGTGTACATAATACCTCATCTCAGAAATATAGACAGATACTGAAAGGCCGGAACGTTGTAATAAATATGGCAACAAAGATGAGGACAATATTCCGAATAATGTAAATAGTGTACATAATACCTCATCTCAGAAATATAGACAGATACTGAAAGGCCGAAACGTTGTAATAAATATGGCGACAAAGATGAGGACAATAGTCCGAATAATGTAAATAGTGTACATAATACCTCATCTCAGAAATATAGACAGATACTGAAAGGCCGGAACGTTGTAATAAAATTGGCAACAAAGATGAGGACAATAGTCCGAATAATGTAAATAGTGTACATAATACCTCATCTCAGAAATATAGACAGATACTGAAAGGCCGAAATGTTGTAATAAATATGGCAACAAAGATGAGGACAATAGTCCGAATAATGTAAATAGTGTACATAATACCTCATCTCACAAATATAGACAGAAACTATTTACTTCTATCGAGGAGAAAAAGAAATAAATAAGTAGTAAACATTTCATATTTGAGAATTGAAGTAGACTTTAGAAGAAACCAGAAATCCACTGATAGAAAGTAAACAAAGGATAAACTTCTACGTCCCTTCCTAATGTTAACATGGCATGACTCCGGGGTACGTTTGGAGAGCGTCTCATCAGCCACAAAGCTGAAATGGAATGGGAACCTCACTCGCCTGACCTGAACCCCCCCACCACCAGATTTCTTCCTCTCGGGGGTTCGTCAAAGACAACATCTACCAGGGTAACCATCGCACTATTGCTGCATTGAAGGCAGGCATCACTGAGAAGATTCAAGCGATCGCCCAGGAGGAATGTGCATGCGTTTCAACAACTTAGCATTCAACATTGCCTTCACCTGAACGGCGGACATCTGGAACATTTACTCTAGAGCTCCTCTTGGCATTTTTGGTTCATGTTTGAGATTTAAATGTTTGAATATTCTAAAATATTATCTTTTTATTTTTCAATAAATGTAAATTTCATTACTCCATCTTTTGTGGTCCTTGATCATGTGCCTGATCATTTTGTTTCAGAAATCGTGAAACACTTTGTATATATCATACTATAAAGATATTGTAACTAAAAAAATAATAATAAATAAAGGACCACATCTACCAGAGCCACTCTCACACCAGGGCTACTTTGAAGACAGCCACACTTGAGAAAATTCAAACTTTAGATTCAACAATGCCTTCAACTGAACAACGGACATTTGGA